AAGATAAGCTCTCTTTTATAAAAATTGTCTTCAAGAATGGGCTCACAATGAAGGTAGAATACATGGGTTAACGACGGCTGCCTTATGCTGGAGAGTGGCCAAGTTGTCGAGACGAAAGACTATCCTCTTCCACCATTCATTATCAAAGGGGAGGCAATATATTCGTTTTTCAATTATTTAAACATTTTTACCCGAAGCCAATGTTGAAATGACCGCTACATTTTCATCTAGGTTGTGTAAAAATTTCATAACTGTGGCAGTTACCAGGAGCTCACTAGGACAAAATATATATTTATTATTAGTATGGGAGTATACATATCGTCGTCCGTATGCCATAAACAGGAATGTGTAAAAATTAACATTTTGGGAAATCAAGTTTGCAAGTTTTTTTTGCGACACTTAGCTCTACATTTATGCAATTGAAATGCTAAAATATTTACTTTCCGTGTTTGGTATAACATAGAAAATCCAAAGATTAACCAAGTCAACCCAATAACTCAAAACTGATAAATTTGCACATTCATGCTTCTGGCATGAGGGTGACGTTATGTGAATTAAAAACTTTAAAAGCGTGTTTCTTGGGTTTTCGGTTTTTGAGTTATGAAAATACTGAAGTAAATGAGTTTTATGTTCATTTTCATCACATTCATATTGAATATTGAAGTTAATATTCGAACGTTCGCTACAATATTTATTGGGTAATTAAAAAAAAATTACTTAGAAAAGTTTTTAATTCGTCGATACATTTCGGCATTCGCGATATTTACTCAGTACTTGTGAAAAAGTATCGAGTTCTCGATACTACTCAGTACTCATGAAAAGTATCGATATTCTGTACTCGGTACTCGTATCGTTCTATCACTATTTGCTACTCAGCTAAAAAAGCAAAGGCGGTTAACATCTGCATTCTCGATTCGTGGCCATGTATTTGTTAGAGCTCAACCGAAAACTGATGCAATCAAAGTGACAGACGTGAAAAGCATGGAAAGTATAGCAGCTCTTAGCAAATATGTAAGTGAAGAAACATTGTAGCCCAGCTATGGTTTTATGTGATGCTGTTATTTGTATGTTTAAGTTAAGGCTTATCTCTTATATCTTGTTATTGCTTTACATTCTTTCCTGTTATACTCTCTCTATCTCAACACTATTTCTGCTGACTGCCTATGCCATTTCACCTTGTATACCCCATTCGATATACATTTATTGCTGATGTGTAATGCAATAACAAAACAAGGCTAACAGAGATCATGTTAAAGGAATTCTCAAGCTTGTATGTAATAGCTGCACTGGTTTTAATATATGTAGCTTTAATGCTAGAAGTTTAAATTCCGGGAAAACTGACTACTTAAATTTCATTTTCGATGGCTTAAATATAGACTTATTATATACTACTGAAACGTGGTTCCAAGAGTGCATTGAGGACAACTCCTACGGCTTGTGCGACTATACGTTAGTGAGAAGTGATAGGGCATCAAAGATGCGGGGAGGAGGCATTGCTTTCTATTTCAAAAACTATATTAAATGGAAAGAAATCAGCAGATCTGAGCCCTATCTGCAAGTAGAAAACCTTTTTGTTGAGTTCAATAATAACAACCTTAAGTGTCTTATCGCGTGCATATACAATCCAAGCAAAAGAAATGATATCTCAGTAATTTTTGAAAAACTGGCTGAATCCTCTATCTCTTATGAGCACATTATCGTATGTGGTGATCTAAATATAGACCTTTTATGTTGTGATTCCTCTTCCAAAAGTATGATAGGCAATTTTCAATCGTTAGCTATTACAATCATCAACAAATATGCTACTCGCTTCGCACCACATTGTAAACCCAGTCTTTTGGGTTAATTTTCAAAAATCAGAAACCAGTAAGCGAACTTCTAATAAGGGACTTTAAACGAATCAATCACAGTGAGTTGAATAAGCAGGCAGCCTTGCTTGACTGGAATATGAGTTGGTCTCTTACGACAGTTGACGAAAAGCTACAATATTTCAACCATCTAATTCGCCAATTATTTGAAAATTTTGTCCCTGCAAGGATGGTGAAGGTACAAAGTAGGAGGAAGCCGTGGTTCACTCATAAGATCTTGTCGTTGATTAAAGAGCGCGCTAAAGCATATAAACTTTGGAAAAGGCATTCGTGCGTTGAGTTTTGGGAAAAATACAGGTTAATCTTACTAATATTATAAATGTGAAAGTTTGTATGTTTGGATGTTTGGGAAATCATCAGGCGGAAACGACCGAACGGATTTGCATGAAAATTTGCACACAGATAGCTTATGACCTAGGTTGGAAAATAGGCTACTTTTCTTAAGAGTTGCCACCTGTTAAAAAAGTTTCATTAAATTGATACGCGGAAACGACTGAATGGATTTGCATGAAATTTTGCAAGCAGAGAGCTTATGACCTACAGTGGAAAATAGGCTATTTTTTGGAAGAGTTGCCACCTGCTAAACAAGTTTTAATTAAATTAATACGCGGAAACGACTGAACAGATTTACGTGACATTTCGCACAGAGATAGCTTATGACCTATGTTGGAAAATAGGCTACTATTTAAAGAGTTATCACGTATTAGGAAAGTTTAATTAAATTAATACGCGTAAATGACTGAAGTGATTTGCATGAAAGTTTGCACACAGATAGCTTATGACCTAGACTGGAAAATAGGCTACTTTTTTAAGAATGGGCAAATGAAATTTTATTCGAAGATGGTTTATGACCTGGATTAAATAAAACTATAGTTTAAAAAACTAAAACCTCGATTATAATTTCCATTCGTACTGTGCTCAGGTATGCTAGCTTGAGAATAGAATCGCTGCATCTTTTAGGCGCATCAATATTACATGGTTACATCCCGAGCTAATAAAAGGGAGGTAAAAATAGGCTACTTCCTTAACCGGTTTTCCGATCAGAATCGAAATTATAGTACATTACTACGGATCGGACTGAAAGTAAGTCCGATAACTCAAGGCTCCTCTCATACAAATTGGAATTTTCATATTACATCATATCTCTGGAAGTATTTGTGGGAGAGAACTGAAACTTGGTATAGTGATATGTATGAGAAATCAATGATGGCATTAATCGATTGATGTTTTAATCAGTTAGTTAATTCGATTAATTCAATCTGATTACAGTTAATCATGATTAATTTTAATCTGACTAAACAGTTAATCTCAACCGCGATTAAAAAATTAATTTTTAATCGTTAACTCTTAATTTGATCAAGTATGTTTGGTGATTAATTAAGTTATACTGGAATTTCCCTGTGCACACAAAGCAAGTTAATCCGGTATGGCTAAGTCGGGCTTCCTCATCAATCTAAGCAATTTGGTGTGCATTTTCATTAAGATATATACCAACAAACGTTTTACAACCTAGGTTTGTAAAAGTTCCCAGTTTATGTATTACTAATAACAATAATTATAATTTTTTTATATTATGTGTTTTTTATAAGTCGTAAAACAGTAAAATAATTACTATAACTGGTGTTTGGTTTCAAACTCGGACAAACTAGACAAATTAATCAGATTTTATTTTTAATTGGATTAAAGATTAATGTTTTAAATTAGTTAAACGTAATCGCAGCCAGCGATTAACGATTAAAAAATGTTATCATTAATCGTACAGTTGTTACGACTCATTAATTTTAATCGTCAAATCGCGATTAACATTTTAATCGTTAATTTTTAATCGTTAATCAGATTAACAGTTTGCCAACACTGTGTGAAATCATGTTCATATTGACGGAGAAAAATGGACGTTTTTGGAAAAGAGGCGTAGCACCTACTGACTGAAAGTTTCATATTGCATATCTCTTCAAATGTTTGGGGTAAAGCACTCAAGCTTGGTATGGAAATACATATGTATGTATGTATGTGAAACTAATACCATACTCATGGAGAAAAATGAGAGTTATTGGAAAAGGTGGTGTGGCAACTCCCATGCAAATTGATTTTTCTATGCTGCATATCTCTGGAGGTGTTTATTGCAGAGGACTGGAACTTGGCACCGAGATGTGTATACAAAATTAATTCCATACCCTGTCAAAAAGTGGGACTAGGTTAAATACTAGTACAGGACCATGCTACCTTGTAACCAACACTAGTAACCAAAATGGTCCAAATATATGGAGAAAATATGGTTACATTAACATTGCGATGTCATTGGACCTGACCACCTCTGGTCCAACGCTGCATAACATGGGACCATTTCTGGTCCACCGCAGCATAACATGGGACCACCTAGACAACTACTCCTTTTGGAGTATTCGGCAGCCAAATCATGTTGCCGATCCCTGCAAAAATCGTTGGACCATGTAGTCTATTTGTGGTATATTGGAGTACTTACAAAAGTGTTCCTCTGTCATGCTGTACGGACCAACTCGTGTCTCTGCGCCAGCTTATTGTTTGTTAACCGATCACTGCTCGTGTTTTAACGAAATGTGATTGAGGTTGAGCATTTGAAAGCACATTTGCATGTCTGGCTGTAGCTGAACGTGTAGATGCTCGCTGTTAGTTCTTAGCTCCCAGCATTTTCGGGTTCGAATGCCGTCAGAGGCAACATGTAATTTTTAATTTTTGTCTTGGTTTTTATTAATTTCGAAAAAGCATTTGAGAAGTGAAGAACAAAAGCGTGTACAAACGAAAAAATACAACAACAATGCCATTGTTAATATGTTGGAGTAGTTTTGTGCTACTCTGATGTAATGCAGGGATGGAGTATATGGTCCTGCCCTAGGACATCGCAATGTTAATTGGACCATATTTTTTATATGAATTGTGGTTAATTTTGGAGTACTCTTTGGTCCTTAGGGAGTACTCTTTACACGCATGCATGGAGTAGTCGCGATTTTTGCAGGGATGGGGCACGAAGAGGTGGTTCTCAACACATATATCAGCTTTTACGTTTGAAGTGGTACAGGTAAGCATAACAAGTTACTAGTATGCAACCTGGTCCTTTTGCACATACTTTAAAACTACGACCCAGTGGACCACCTGGTCCTCAAATTTTTCAGGGTACTCATGGAGAAAAATTTGCGTTATTCGAAAAGGGGACATGGTTCCTCCCGTAGAAATTTACTGTTTTATACTGCTTATCTCTAAAGGTGTTCCAGGTAGAGTAATGGGACTTGGTACTGGGGTATGTAAAATCAGTTCTAAATTCATGGAAGAAGATTAGGGTAATAAGAAAAAGGGGCGTGGCACTTCCAGTACAAATTTACTTTTTCTTGCCACATATCCCTGGAAGTGTTTGTGGAAGAATACTGGAACTTGGTATGGAGTTATGTATGCAAAATGTATGAATTGCTCATGGAAAAAATGTGAGTTATTAAAAAAGGAGGCATGTCGCCTCCCATACATACTAAAAACTTCTTAATACATATCTCTGGAAGTATAGAAAATCTCTCGAAGTATTTTAAATTTGTTATGGAGATTTATTTTATAAGTGCCGTACTGACAGAATAAATTTCATCAAATGGAAAAGGGAGAGCCAGGTTTGGCATTATAATCTAAAGCTCTCTTGAGGCATTTGCTACAGTAATGAGAAGTGGTATTTTATCAAGGCCAGGTTACTAAATTGAGCCGGAATAAACCAAATGTCAAGTGCGTAGGACGTGTTTGTGCGGTGCTCCTGAGTTTTCACATATTTTGCGGGTGTTACACTGATATTTTCCATTTATTTGATTTGGTGCTACACCGCGTGCGCTTCTGATACGAATTGTTTCCGATCAGCTTTATACCTGAGACTCATTGTCTTTCGCACCTGAATATGCAATCAACGCGCAAGAATTCACGCAAACCACCAACCTCACCAAAAACTCCGCTTACTCCCTCATCCACTATCGTTGATAAAGTTGAGCGAAAAATTGACGAGCTGAGAACCACCGTTGTCGCAGAGTTGACTNCGAGCTCAGAATCACCGTTGTCGCAGAGTTGACTGATGTAATGAATAAATCCGAGGAAAGGGTAATGCAGAAAATTGGTGAGTTAGCTGCAGAAACTGCAAAT